AGACAGAATGAAAGCAAAGAAGGGTGCCTTAGCCCCAAGAAAGATGGGCTAGAAGTTTAAGGGTCTCATCCTGCCCTCTACAGGGATGGGCCTTGAAAGACACCCATTTTAAACTCGCCACACAACCCGGTAGACAACTCTGTATCGCCACCCACATTGCCAAGGTCTAGCACAGGGCAAACAGTTAATTAACTATGCACGCGTTGCTTTGGCATCACTCAGCCCATTGAGCCACTGCCTTTTATGCTCAGCCACGACTTGAACTGCAAAACTGCAAGCAGGCACTAAGATTAGTTTGGTAATATTCCTAGGATAACATCTTCAACCACAGGCAGGGCAGACTTATGTCTCCACTTTGGTGGCACTCAGGAGCTCAAGTTCCTCCCGAATGACCAGTAAAGCTATTAAGGTTATTTAAAGAACAAAAATTACCAGATAAACAGCAACTGAGCTAGCCTTGTGATTATTACTGTCCATGAGGAAGAACTAAAGCTGTAAGGGTAATACAGCACCAAGGGAATGGAAGGTAATCATGTTTGATGCATCAAGAGGAAATGTAGCTCAAATTCCTTTCATCAAGGACCCTTCACTAGTATCACTGCACTCTCCTTCCCCATGAAGGGCCTAATCTTAGAAGCCAGAACATTTAAAGTTTAAAATATGTTCACCAGATTAGCTATACTACTAAAAATCAACAAAAACTATTAATTTGATGCCAAGAAAGGAGCCTAGTAACTGAACTCAAACACAAATTGTTGGTGCAGAAGCATAACTCAAACTAAAGGAAATTAAAAGAAAAGAACTTGTATACACTGAATTTATTCCATTATATTTTCAGAATAAATGTACAAAGAAAAAGTTATTTACAAAGTGGACAGCAATAACAAACTCATACAAAGCAACTAAGCCAATGGAACATATCCATTAGCTCAAAATAAACCATTAAGGATATACATGTACTACTACAAACCATATTTTCTTCTTACTCCAAGCTGCCTTGATGGTTAAGGAGTTTCACAATTATGTCTAGCACATTGTTTACTACATAAAAGTTCCGTAAATGACATTTAAAAATTCTTTACGATGCCACCATTTCTTCTTTCCCATCACTTTATATAGTTTTGATATTTCATAAAACTTAAGTATGCATGCTCCTACTGTCAAACAAAGGAGGCAAAAACATGCAAATGATTGAAAAAAAATCTACAAGCAGAAGAGAAAAGTAAGATAAATAAAAAATTGCCATGCATCTCTTGAAAACTGAATAAATATTGACTGAGGGATGCCTCTGAGTGTGAGATGTACACCACAATGAATAACTATGATGCTAATTTAACAATGTGTTAATGATCATCAGTCACTACCAACCCAAACTTAGTGAATGAAAGAAGACTTTTATATACAACTGATGGTTTACTAAAAGACAAAAATCTGAACATCAATTTTAATGAATATATAAGAAAATTCACTTCTTATACACAATGACTAAACAAAAAAAAAAATAGCTGTGTGCTTATCAGGGTGCATTTATATATTCAGGGTGAGACGTCTCTCTAAACTAGCAAGAGCAGAAGCCCTGAACACCTGAAAACTGAAGTGAACTTAAAATCCGTGCCTGAAATCGCTCGGAGGATTTGCTGACAAGATCCTCTTGTGATAAAACAAGCGTTTCAGTTAGCCGAGACTGGTGAGAAACTAGAGGGGAAAATTAAATGATGTAACAGGATCTGTCATTTACACCATCCTCTAGCAGACTAAATTAGCAATTGTATTAAAATTACATCAGTATGTTTCTGCTCTGGGCTAAAATTCACAGATCAGGTCACCAATAAAGAATATACAGTATTTTAAAAGATGGCTTAGATATGGCTATTGTCAAAGCCTACATTCCTGCTTGACTAAAAGAGAAACTACAGATAAATGTACTTAAAACATTGAAGAAGTGATAGTGGGTATCCCATGTCAGGAGTTGTATGCTTCATACAAGATCATTTTTGCATGTTTTTGCACTGTATCTACTTCATTATCCATTACAAGTTTTGTCAGCTCATCAGTGTACAAGATGGCATCAGTGTACAGGATGGTAAGTGACGAGATCGACGACTCAGGCTCAAGAATTTTTCAATAATGTTAAATTTTCATTTTGAATTGGAAAATTTACTTTATTGGTAAAATGTTTAAGACAATATCGACGATGTCGTCACATTCTGATTAAAAAGCAATTTGTCTACTTTTCTATATTCGCACTTCGAAGTAATATAATTTACCAGCACAAATGACTATGGAAACAATAAATAAGATACATGAATTCATATATCAAAGATATCATGGACATCAACATTATTAGTGTGTGTAACGTGACTATATAGTGACAAAAATTGGGTTAGTTATTTCATACAGATTAGCTGCCGGCAAACATTACCTTTCAGGAACAGACAAAAAAAATTTTCAAGGCCAAGCAAGACTTTTACTTGAGGGAAAAAAAAGATCAAATATCCTACTGTTATTAAAGTCACTCAATACCTTACTGATGAACAAATGCTCACCATAAACTATGGAATGTGAATAAGACTTAATAAAGCTGTAAAAAATGGTGTCAAGCAGGTCTGCTTCATGAAAGACAATGTTGCTAGACACACTGCGTAGACATGCCCAGCCTAGAGGGGTTAAGGGTGGTCAGTAGGCTGGGTCTGAGGACACACCCAGCCTACAACTTGCTGTCACTAAGTACTCAAATTTTATGAGAAAGCATCATCTGTCCTGTGCCCCAAAACATTCTCTTGATTGGGTTTTCTCTCAATCTTTAAACCCCTTTTTTTAAATTGGGGAAAAATATAGAAAACTTCCTTTTCAAGTTTTGAAATAAATAATAAAATAAAATAATACAATAAAAAACCCCATTTGTCCCAAAAATTGCACTTAAAATTCTTTTTGGCTACGCGCTAGTGAGAGGAGGAGAGTAAAATTAACAAACGACACACAGCAGGCATCTCATGATTTAAAGTGAAAAAACACTGACACTTGCCCCCGGCGGGCCATTTTAAACTAACCCCTTTGATTTACCCCCTCAGATCTAATTTTAAATGGTTTATAAAATTGAAATTTTTTGTGAAAAGTATTTATATAGGTATAGGGGATCAAAGCCCAAAAAGAAGTGTTTTATGAACATGTAATATACTATAGAATTATAAAAATAAAATATTTTAAAATATTTTATTTTTATAATATATATAAAATATAAAATATTATATATAAATAAAATTATATATATTTATAAATATATATATAAAATAATATATAATATATATAAATAATATATATATAATATAAAATTATAATATATATATATATATATTAAAAATTTTAAAAATATATAAAATATATATATAAATGTCAATATAAAACCAAATAAGAGAATCCATGAACTATGTTTAAATTTATTAGGGCAATATACTTATTAATAGTGTAAAATTTAGTGGCAGCCACCCCTGTCCAAGGGGAAAGTGCCAGAATTTGCTTATAAAATTTTATTGAACAATATTTATATCAATCGGGTTTTTCCCTTGACAAACTAAACCCCCCTCCAGCAAAACGGGTAAAGGCATAGTCGGGGCCTTTTGGTGGGAAGTTTTGTTTGCTTTCCCATTCGTTTCTATTACTGGGTTTTTTTGCTCCCTGGGGGTGCCCAACAGGCCCTTTCCCTTTTATCCCATAAACCATTTCACTTCTCAGTAATCAACGGGAATTTTAAAAATGACACATGACAAAAAATGGATGCCAGCTGATTGGTTTTAATCAAAGGGGATTGTTTAAAAAGTACAAAAATACAAAAAAAAATACTAAAGCTCTGTTTAAAAGTTTGACTAAAAATAAGGTAATCACAGCTTTTTAGTAAAAATAATAAAAAGGGAAAACCCCTTTTTGCCCCAGGTAAATAATTTTTAACCCGCAAAAATTGTCATGAACTGCGGGAATTGTGAGAAGAGGAACAAGGGAAAAAAATGAAAAAAAAAAAAAAGCAAACATTTTCATGGATGCTTTTTTTAAAAAGGTGGGCATGAAAAAATCTAGCTGGATTTTAAGACACAAACCCAAAATAATTGAAAACTTAAAAATCTTAAAGAGGCTTCAGGATAAGAATACAATACACAACCCCTGACCCCCCAGACCCCCGAAAGCCCCAGGGCCCTACTTTTTGTTATTGCATTTTTTTCCCCGGGCAATTAAAAAAGGGCAACCCAAAAGTAGCACCAGACTGCCTGGGATCAGCCTCTCCTGAACCCCAGTGTTCAAGGGCAAGTATGTTACTGTCCATGCAACAGGCTGCCCAAATTTATGTGAAGCACCCGTTTTCAAATTCCCCCTTTTAAAAAATTTAATGCTTAGATTTTTTCTATATACACCAAAAAAGAAATTTTTTTCAAAAAGTAAGAAAAAAATTTCCCCTGTATTTTAAAAATTTTTTGCTAATTTAAAATTTAAGTCATACCCAGCCTGCCACACTCCCCTTTTTGAGCACTCCCCAGCAAAAACCAAAACTGCTGCCTACATACTTTCTTACCCTCATTTTTTTATTCTGTTTCCATTACAGTATAATTAACTATTTGCTTCTACTATGTATATACAAATGCAAATAATTTCATGATCCCCAAGTTTTTCTCTGAACTGGAAATGAATCATCACAAGTGACACCTGAAATACAAGTGAGCTCCAATATTTACTAGTTTTGAAGAAACACCTCTTCTTTCTTTGGCGTAAAAACAATGAACAATTAGCAACACATCACTAGACTGGACGTCTCACTCCGTCCTTCAGGCCCTCTTCGCAGCTCACTGCCTCAGCTGTGACATGCGTGCATAATAGAGGCAATACAAAAGCAGCTATACACAGGTGTTGTATACCCACCCTGGGCACACCTTAGAGCTTCTCCAACTTCCATGCCCTAATTCCTGCCAAAAGAGTGGATCTTTGCATTATAAGATTTTTGATATTAATAATAAATTAAAATAATAAATTACTTGGAGTCTCTCCCACACACACTGTGCCACTTGCCTCTTACTGCACACTGGCCACCTTCTACCTTTGAAATAGCTTGATGTGATGGATGTGACAATCTGCCACACTGGAGAAAACTAGGAATGGACAAAAGTGGCAGAGCCGCAGGAGATACATCACAGACAATAGCTCGGATGTAGGTAGAGTGGAGTAGCAACAGCCTGAAGAGCAGCAGCAATGTCTGCAGCAGTGATGGCAGAATGCAGTAGGAGGAAGGGGTAACAAACAGGTTGATGGGAGGGGTGGGCGAGGCTTGCTCACACAACCTCAAATTAACGACACTCCCACACCTTGATGGTCTGATCCACACTGCCAGTGATTACATACGGTGCACTCCGGTGCATATCTGGGGAATACATGTGAAATTTCTTATATAAACAACCTGCATTACCACAAACTTTATTATGATCTGCAGACATTACTTTATGTATTTATAGCTTGTTTTTAATCAAGTTATTACATTTTCCCAACACAACAATAATTTCCAAGAACATAGAGCACTTTCATTTAACATTTGAAAAACTTGGTATACTGCCCTATTTATGAAATAATCCAACACTGCAATCTGCATGTGCTACAAAGTATTTCATATGGGTAGTAATCATAATAATGTATGAATAATAAAAATAATAAACACTTACCTAATGATGTACAGAAATGAGAGTGAGCATCGAGTGTCTTTTGGCATCGCTTATTCTTAATATCCCATACACGTACAGTTTTGTCATCAGAGGCAGAAAGAATGTATTTGCCACCAGGATGAACTAACAAACCTCGTACCCAGTTGTCGTGGCCTACAAGTGTGAAGAGGCACAAGCCAACGCCTACATCCCATACCTGTACCAAAATATATATTAATTTAAAAAATTACCTCAGCAACAGTGGAATGTACTTTATAAGTAAGCAAGGTAAGCATTCCCTACCATTTAAAAATTCTTCCCTTACAGAAACAAACATCTAGTTGAGTTTAATGTTATTGAATTGTACAGTACACAGATTTCAGCATTTACTAATTATTTGTGTGTTAATTTAATCATGTTATAAAAGGAGTTCAGACTTTTAAAATTTGTTAATTAGGAGCATTTGACACTTGATAATCTGACCTTGGATACATAACACTGGATTTACAGCATCCACCTGCTTCCTGTCTAAAATATGCCATTACCAATCCTAAGATGAAAACTATTGATTTAAAATACATTAACACAATTCTTCCTAAATACAAGCAAGATTCAGAGCAATCTAATATGGTGTGAAAATCATACTGATAACAGAACTTTTCCCTCAATAATATCTGTTGTTAAACTGTCATCTCTGAAAGAATTTCCTTACCTAGAGATTTGGACAGTGAAAGCAAAGAGTACACCTTCCTCCCTCACTACTGCCCTTCCTCATCCTTCCCATGGTATCTCTGCTACAACCCCTCCTCCCCTACTGATCGCTGTAGACAATATAACATACTTAATCAGGTTATCAATTTACCAATTTGGATTCATTAGGCTTATTACAGCCTTTACACTCACCATTATTCGAATTTAGAAAAGAATTTCTAAAGCTTGCTCTTCACCCACTAAAATACAACTATAACATTTCCTCTTAATTTTTTATCAATGAAATTACAACTTAGATAGTAGTTTACATGTCAGAAGACGTAAAAGATAAAACTAAAACAAATTTTATTTCATAAAGCCGAATGACATGGAAAAGGCTTTGTGAATCAAGAGGAAAATTTTATTCACATTGTCTTGATATTTTAGTGAAGCAAGCAAGGTAGCATTCAGGAAAAGATGCAGGGAAATCACTAGCTGAACTTGAGCCCTGGAGTTGTAGTTGGAGAGTACACTGCCTGCACTCTGAAGGAGAAGGGTGAATGTTGCACTTCAGAGGACCATCTGAACTGTGATGTTAGCATACTTTTGGCAAAACAGTTATTGAATGAATGATGGTGATTTTTTTTTTTCCAGATCTTTCTACCTTGGTCAGAGACGACGTGGTGGTTAGTAACCCAGGAAAACCCAAACAAGTTACTGTCATCAGGCTGTAAGGTATATTTCAATTTGGGTCCTTTAATCCTCCTCCTCAGGCTATGACCTATACCAGTCAGATAACACCTAGATACAATACCTTCTTACTGCTAGATGAACAAGGGCAGCAGGAGTAACCAAACATGCCTAATATCTCCACTTGTCCAGGGATTGAACAATGGTCACTCAGTACGTGCATGACCACTTATAATAGCATATATACAGAAGAGCTTTCTGTTTTAAAACAAATTAAAACTTACTCCAGAAGTTCTCCAAGGAAAAAAAAAAATGCAAATATTTTTCCCTTTAATGACTTAAAAAGGAATCTTTGCAAAATCTTTAAAGCAAGCTAAATTTTACAGGGTTAACCCTTTTAAAGGGTTAAGGTACTGATCATTTGGTCATACTTCAAGAAGAATTACATCAAACTTTTTTTAAACACATTTGCTGTTTCCCACTGAGGCAGGGCAACCCAAAAAGAAAGAAAAAAAATTTCATCATTCAACACTTTCACAATCATTCATACATAATTACTGTCTTTGCAGAGGCACTCAGATATAACAGTTTAGATGTCACTCCAAACAGCCAATATTCCTAACCTCTTCCTTATTATTCATACTTCAGCTTTATCAAAAAGCTTAGAAGTGTCATTTGTTTACCCTAGTAATTTTATCATGACACTACTGCTCAGCACTCACATAATACCAGAGTAACAATATGAATAATAAAGATAGTTAAGACCTAATTAATATTATATTCATGAAGAAGCACTAAACCTATAGTGGTTATATAGTGCCTGGGTAATGTGATGTAATCAGGCGTGATCCAAGAAATTGCAAGGTAGTTCCAATTCCTTGGATCAAGTGCCTTTCCCCAGAATCAAGACACTGTCTTCACAGGGGGTGTCCTGATGCTGGTAGACATGTTTAACAATTCAATGAAAATAACAGTGTACAGTATTTTAAGGCAATATTTAAGAGAGCGAGATAAACAAGTTAAGAAAGCCTAGGGAACGAATGGATTTGTCAGTTAAAAACAGAGTAGGAGAGTTAGTAGATGGGGAGCTGGAGGTATTGGGTAGATGGTGGGAATATTTTGAGGAACTTTTAAATGTCGATGAAGAAAGATAGGCGGTAATTTCATGCAATGGCCAGGGAGGAAAAACATGTTTTAGGAGTGAAGAGCAGGATGTGAGTACGGGGGAGGGGCATGAGGCATTACGAAGAATGAAAAGGGGTTAAGCAGAGCTGGAGACGGGATCATGACATATGTTAAAAGCAGGGGATGAGTGTTGGAATGGTTGGTATTTTTATTTAACCCTTTGACTGTCGCGGCCGTATATATACGTCTTATGAGGTACCGTGTTTGACGTATATATACTCATAAATTCTAGCGGCTTCAAATCATGCAGGAGAAAGCTGGTAGGCCCACATGTGAGAGAATGGGTCTGTGTGGTCATTTTTTTTTTTTTTTTTTTTTTTTTTTTTTTTTTTTTTCAACAAGTCGGCCGTCTCCCACCGAGGCAGGGTGACCCAAAAAAGAAAGAAAATCCCCAAAAAGAAAATACTTTCATCATCATTCAACACTTTCACCACACTCGCACATTATCACTGTTTTTGCAGAGGTGCTCAGAATACAACAGTCTAGAAGCATACACATATAAAGATACACAACATATCCCTCCAAACTGCCAATATCCCAAACCCCTCCTTTAAAGTGCAGGCATTGTACTTCCCATTTCCAGGACTCAAGTCCGACTATATGAAAATAACGGTTTCCCTGAATCCCTTCACTAAATATTACCCTGCTCACACTCCAACAGATCGTCAGGTCCCAAGTACCATTCGTCTCCATTCACTCCTATCTAACACGCTCACGCACGCTTGCTGGAAATCCAAGCCCCTTACCCACAAAACCTCCTTTACCCCCTCTCTCCAACCCTTTCGAGGACGACCCCTACCCCGCCTTCCTTCCCCTATAGATTTATATGCTTTCCATGTCATTCTACTGTGATCCATTCTCTCTAAATGGACCATACCACCTCAACAACCCCTCTTCTGCCCTCTGATAATACTTTTATGACTCCCACCTTCTCCGATTTTCCACACACTCGAATTTTTTGAATTATATTTTACACCACACATTGACTTAGACAGGGGACATCTCGCTGCCTCCAACCGTCTCCTTGCTGCTAGCATTTACACCCCAAGCTTCACACCATTTATGAGTGTTGGTACTACTATTACTTCTTACATTCCCTTCTTTGCTCCATTGATAACTGTTTTTTGATCCACTATTCCTCAACGCACACTCACCTTTTTTCCATCATCTTTCTATGATTTAACCTCATCCTAATAAATCCATCCGCCGACCGTTCAACTCCCTCAAGTATCTGAAACATTCACTTCTTCCTATACTACTCCTCACCCAATTTGATATCAATTTTTCTTTATCTAATATCATTTGACACCCTCATCACCTTACTCTTTTCTAATGTTACACATCTCAAATTTCTACATTTACACACATTCCCAAAATCATCCACTAACCTTTGCTATTTTTCTTAGAAATCTCCATAAGCACTGTATCATGTCAGCAAATAAGTAACGGTGTCATTTCCCATTTTTGAATTTGATTCCCATAATTTAATCCCACCCCTCTCCCAATAAACCTTAGCATTTACTTCCTTTCAACCCCATCTATAAATATATAAACAGCCATGGTGACATTAACATCCTGTCTAAGACCTACTTTTACCGGAAAGAGTCTCCCTCTCTTCTACACACCCTAACCTGAGGCCCTCCTATCCTCATAAAAACTATTTTACAGCATTTAATAACTTACCACCTATTCCATATAAATTGCAACCATCTGCCACATTGCTTCCTCTATCCACTCTATCATATGCCTTTTCAAATCCATAAATGCAATAAAAACCTCCCTATCTTTATCTAAATACTGTAAATTTTATATGCTTCAATGTAAAAACCTGATCTTACACATCCCTAACCACTCTAAAACCTCTTGAGCGCATCCGCAATCCTACATTCTGTCTTTCTTACCTTAATTCTTTCAATTATAAACCCTACACGTACACTTTTCCTGTTATATCAGTAAGCCTTATCCTATGTAATTTTTCAGTTCTTTTGTCCTTTCCTTTATATAAAGGGACTATAATGCTCGCTGACACATCCTAGGTACCTTCACCTCTTCATACATTTATTAAACAAATGTACCAACCCTCCCATCACTATATCCCCCCTGCTTTTAACATTTCTGTCATGATCCCATCTGTTCCAGCTGCTTTACCCCCTTTCTTTTTACGTAATGCCTCAACGTACCTCCCCCACACTTACATTCTGCTCTTCTTCACTCCTAAAAGATGGTATACCTCCCTGACCAGTGCATGAAATTACTGCCTCTGTTTCTTCCTTAACATTTAAAAGTTCCTCAAAATATTCTCGCCATCTACCCAATACCTCCATCCCCCCATCTACTAACTCCCCTACTCTGTTTTAACTGAAAAAATCCATATTTTCCCTAGGCTTTTTTAACTTGTTTTAACTCGCTCCAAAATTTTTTTATTTTCATTAAATTTTCTTGACAGTCCCTTCCCACTCTATCATCTGCTCTCCTTTTGCCTCTTCTCACCACTCTCTTTACCTTTCTTTTACTCCCCATATACTCTCTCTTCTTAAACACTTCTGCTTTTAAAAACCTCTCATAACTACTTTTTCCTTTTATACACCTTTACTATCATTCCACCAATCACCCTTTTTCCTGCCCCACCTCCTATAACCACAAACTTCTGCCCCACATTCTAAATACTGCATTTTTAAAACTATTCCAACCCTCTTCAACCCCCCCACTACTCATCTTTGCACTAGCCCACCTTTCTGCCAATAGTCGCTTATATCTCACCCGAACTTCCTCCTCCCTTAGTTTATACACTTTCACCTCCCTCTTACTTGTTGTTGCCACCTTCCTCTTTTCCCATCTACCTCTTACCTAACTGTAGCTACAACTAAATAATGTCCGATATATCATTGCCCCTCATAAAACATGTACATCCTGGAGCCTACCCATCAACCTTTTATCCACCAATACATATCTAATAAACTACTTTCATTACGTGCCTACATCATACCTTGTATATTTATTTATCCTCTTTTTCATAAAAAAATTTTATTACTTATTACCAAATTTCTTTCAACACATAGCTCAATTAAAGGCTCCCCATTTACATTTACCCCTGGCACCCCAAATTTACCTACTACTCCCTCCATAACATTTTTACCCACTTTAGCATTAAAATCCCCAACCACCATTACTCTCACACTTGATTCAAAACTCCCCACGCATTCACTAAACATTTCCCAAAATCTCTCCTCTCTCCTCTACACTTCTCCTTCTCCAGGTCCCATAAAACCTTATTATAACCCACTTTTCACATCCAATCTTTATTTTGCTCCACATAATCCTTGAATTAATACATTTATAGTCCCTCTTTTCCTGCCATAGCTTATCCTTCAACATTATTGCTACTCCTTCTTTAGCTCTAACTCTATTTGAAACCCCTGACCTAATCCCATTTATTCCTCTCCACTGAAACTCTCCCACCCCTTCAGCTTTGTTTCACTTAAAGCCAGACATCCAGCTTTTTCTCATTCATAACATCCACAATCATCTCTTTCTTATCATCTGCACAACATCCACGCACATTCAGACTTCCCACTTTGACAATTTTCTTCTTCTTATTCTTTTTAGTAATCTTTACAGGAAAAGGGGTTACTAGCCCATTGTTCCCGGCATTTTAGTTGACTTTTACAACACGCATGGCTTATGGTCAGTATGCACCATATAAAAAAAAATCCTGGAGCACGCAGTGCATAATAATAAAAAAAAAACTACCATTTTTTTTAATTAAAATCCCGACTTTGTGGTCTATTTTCGTATAGTATTTATGGTTGTATTCTCGTTTTCTTGGTCTCATTTGATAGAATGGAAAACATATTATAGAAATAGAGGTGATTTTGATTGATTTTACTATAAAAAGAACCTGGAAATGGAGCTCAAAGTAGGGGAAATGTTTGATTTTTGCCAATGTTCAAAAGTAAACAAATGATGTCATTGTCCAATAAATGTCCAACTAGCCATTCTAATATGCAGTCATGAATGGGTTGATGTTATTTATACAATTATTACAGTATTGCAGTAGTCTGCATAATAGTAAGTCTTCTAATTTTTGTTTGAATAAAATTTAAAAATAGAAAGCAAGAGTAATATCAGAGGGGCCTGGAGACATGACTGATGAACAAAGAAAATGTTATTTTAGAGCCAGGAATGTCTGCATCTTTCATTCTGGACCTTATTTTGAAATTGTCATATTTTTTAATTTTCGTGAAATGGGCCAAATAGCAAATTTCTGACCACATTATTGGGTAGTTGAAATCGGTAAATGGCCAGTTTCTTGTACTCAATCGATAGAAAAAAATGGAATTCTAAAGAAATAGCTATGAGTTTGGTCGACTGGAACAACGGAATTAACCGAAAATAGGGCTCAAAGTGGGCAAAATCGCCGATTTGTAAATATCGCCAAGGTCGCTAACTTCGCGAGAGCATAATTCCGTCAGTTTTCCATCAAATTTCGTTTTTTTTTTTTTTTGGTGTCATTACAATCGGGAAAAGATTCTCTACCATTTCATAAGAAAAAAATTTATTTTTTTTTTTTTTTTTAAATTTTGCGACACCAGGAGACACCTCAGGATTGGGGGTGGTGACAGTCAAGGGGTTAAGGAATATATGAAAGAGGGGAAGGTACCTAGGGACTGGCAGAGAGCATGTATAGTTCCTTTATATAAAGGGAAGTGGAACAAGAGATTGTAAAAATTATAGGGGAGTAAGTTTAATGAATATACCAGGAAAAGTGTATGGTAGGGTTATTATTGAAAGAATTAGAGGTAGGACAGAGAGTAGGATAGCAAATAAGTAAGGAGGCTTTAGAGTAGTAGGGGATGTGTAGATCAAGTGTTTACATTGAAGCATATATGTGAACAGTATTTAGATAAGGGTAGGGAAGTTTTCATTGCATTTATGAAATTAGAAAAAGTATATGACAGAGTGGATAGGGGAGCAATGTGGCAGATGTTGAAAGTATATAGAATAGGTAGTAAGTTACTAAATGCTGCAGTGTTTTTATGAGGATAGTGAGGCTCAGGTTAGGGTGTGAAGGAAAAAGGCAGAGTACTTCCTGGTAAAAGTATGTCTTAGACAGGGATGTGTAATGTCCCCATGGTTGTTCAATATATTTATAGATGGGGTTGTAAAAGAAATAAATGCTAGGGTGTTTGGGAGAGGGGTGGGATTAAATTATGGGGAATCAAATACAAAACAGGAGTTGACAGCTACTTTTTGCTGACGATACTGTGCTTATGGGAGATTCTCAAGAAAAGTTCCAAAGGTTAGTGGACGAGTCTGGGAGGGTGTGTCAAGGTAGAAAGTTGAAAGTGAACATAGATAGGAGAAAGGTGATGAGGGTATCAAATGATTTAGATAAAGAAAAATTGGATATCACATTGGAGAGAGGGAGTATGGAAGAAGTGAGTGTTTTCAGATATTTGGAAGTTGACCTGTCAGCGAATAGGTTATGAAGGATGAGTTTAACCACAGAATTCTTGAAGGAAAAAAAAGGTGAGTGGTGCATTGAGGTATATGTGGAGACAAAAAAAGTTATCTATGGAGGCAAGGAAGGGAATGTACGAAAGTATAGTGGTACCAACACACTTATATGGGTGTGAAGCTTGGGTTGCAAATGCTGCAGCAAGGTGGTGGTTGGAGGCAGTGGAGATATCCTGTCTAAGGGCAATGTGTGGTGTAAATATTATGCAGAAAATTCATAGTGTGGAAATTAGGTGGTGTGGAGTTACTAAAAGTATTAGTCAGAGGGATGAAGAGGGGTTGCTGAGGTGGATTGGTTATTTAGAGTGAATGGATCAAAGTAGAATGACTTGGAGAGCGCATGTATCTGTAGGGAAAGGAAGGCGGGGTGCGGGGTCCTCCTCGAAAAGGTTGGAGGGAGGGGGTAAAGGTTTCGTGGGCAAGGGGCTTGGATTTCCAGCAAGCATGTGTAGTGTGTTAGATAGGAGTGAATGGATATGAATGGTTTTTGAGACTGGATGAGCTGTTGGAGTGTGAGCAGGGTAAATTTTTGTGAAGGGATTCAGGGAAACTGGTTAGCCAGACTTCAGTCCTGGAAATGGGAAGTAAAATGGCTGCACTTTAAAGGAGGGGTTTGGGATACTGGCAGTTTGGAGGGACTTCTGAACTGTCGAATCTGAGTGCCTCTGAAAAGACAGTGAATATGTATGAGTGAGGTGAAAGTGTTGAATGATGATGATAGTATTTTCTTTATGGAGATTTTCTTTCCTTTTGGGTCACCCTGCCTCGGTGGAAGACGACCGACGTGTTAAAAAAAAAAAAATTAAGACATCCAAACAGCACTTGGTAAAGTATCTTGCCTAAGCTGTCCAACTAAATGTTAGAAAATCCACTCAAGAAAAGAATCTCACCTTGATAGTCTTGTCTCTTGAGCCAGATATCAGGAAAGGGCCCTGGTAGTTGGGCTTGCGGTTATCTGTTGCAACTGCATCATTCACAGCTGCAGAGGCAGTGCCTTCACACCACGCAATGCACTCTACTACATGGTCATGCTCCCTCAATTCTGCCTAGAGGAGTAGAATGAGAAAGTGATCAACACATCTATATATGCATGTCACATCAATACAGTATTTATATATCGGATTCATTCTGGAAAGAAACTCCTTTTCTTAGGATGTTAATGTTCATCATAATCTTCTAATGACACTTTAAGTAACTTTAAAAATGCATAAACAAGAGCAATAGGAACAAACAAGGCAGCAAATTTATGGATGTAGAAGTTAGAAGAGATGGGGATAATGAAGGTGATGGAGATAGGGAAAAGATTGGGGGGGGTAAAAAATAGGGAGAGAGAAAGGTGAAAATGGGGAGAAACATGTGGGGCAGGGAAGAAATGAAGGAAGAAGAGATTAGCATACATGTAAATGGCAGATAAAGTACCTCACAGTCTACAGGTGAACCTTGTAATTTACAGGGGTTAGGGTCCTGGAGACGAGGTGAACCCTGAGGTCCAGGACAATATGAACTGTCACACGTCATTATTTACATGTTTTTGGCAATACGCTGCATTTAATTGTTTGAAGCCATCTCTTCAAATATTGCTCTAAACTGTTTAATTAAGACATTCATAAACTATAATGAGCATATTCTGGATGAACACCAATGGCAATTTTACGATTTAGGGGTTGTATAATCAGATCACAAGCATTATGATTTGCATGTCTGGGTTCAACTGTACATACATCAAGGCTATCTGCTGAAGACTAACTACAATAAAGTGTGTTGTTATTATAATCATAACTAAGTGCTAAACCCATAAGGGTAATACAGGGCTGCACAATAAAATGTAGCTACACTTAAATCATTGCTGCTACTGCTGCTGCTACTACTACTAGTGCCACATGCCCTGGGTAGTGTGTGGTTAACCCCCAAATGGTTCTCTCACGTAGCACCCTGAATATTTTGAGGAAAAAAAAAAATTATAGGAAAAAAGAGCATGTGGTACCCAGGCATCCCCAATTTTTTTCATATGGTGCACACTGAGTGCACACACCCATTCTCTCATGTCTAGGAGACTCAGGCCTATTGTGCCAATGTTGAATGAATGACAAATGAAACTTAGACATACATTTGGGGCGCTATACGAGAGAACATACATATACGTTTGGACCGTTTAAGGGTTAAGTAATTATTTTTATTTTTATTATTATTTTTATTATCACACTGGCCGATTCCCACCAAGGAAGGGTGGCCCAAAAAAGAAAAACTTTCACCATCATTCACTCCATCACTGTCTTGCCAGAAGGGTGCTTTACACTACAGTTTTTAAACTGCAACATTAACACCCCTCCTTCAGAGTGCAGGCACTGTACTTCCCATCTCCAGGACTCAAGTCCGGCCTGCCGGTTTCCCTGAACCCCTTCATAAATGTTACTTTGCTCACACTCCAACAGCACGTCAAGTATTAAAAACCATTTGTCTCCATTCACTCCTATCAAACACGCTCATGCATGCCTGCTGGAAGTCCAAGCCCCTTGCACACAAAACCTCCTCTATCCCCTCCCTCCAACCTTTCCTAGGCCGACCCCTACCCCGCCTTCCTTCCACTACAGACTGATACACTCTTGAAGTTATTCTGTTTCGCTCCATTCTCTCCACATGTCCGAACCACCTCAACAACCCTTCCTCAGCCCTCTGGACAACAGTTTTGGTAATCCCACACCTCCTCCTAACTTCCTAATTGTCCTGGCTAATTTGTGAACTGTCAGGCTTCAGTGGCCACAGCCAGCCCTTGCATTATTTTTATTACAGTAAAACCTCTCAATGTGCAGGATATGTTCCTGAAAACTGGTTATTATAAAAATTGGTTTTATGCAAAGTGAGGAACATATAGGTGAAAACAAGTTATTTTCCAAACAACTCCAAAATGCCCAAATTTATTTTTTAACCCTTTCAGTTACCATCACGTAATACTATATTATTGAGACCAAGGTCCTTAAATGTAGTTCTATGTCATGAGCCCAGCTCACTCAGAGATACGAGAGAATGGGTCTGCATGGCAAGTAAGCCCAGCATAAAAAAAAAAATTTTGCCCATACAGGGCATGAGGAAAGCAAAACTCTGACCATGTGTTTGGCTTAAAACAGCAACCAAGTTTTCTAGGATGGTAGTTAGGGTTTTACCGACTTTCTTGTCAATATTTGAAAGAATGAAAGACATCTTACTAAAATAGATATGATATTAGTTAATGTCAGGACTGAAAGTAACTTGAAATTAGGTTCAAAATAGCAGAAATATCCGATTTCTCCCAGGACAGGTAAGGTACCCCCCCCCCACTTTACCCCCCAGTCTGTTTTATGGGTTTTTAATAGGTCTGATTCAATTATTGGGATACTGTAAACCAAGACCAGTCCTTCTTGGTTATATTTTATTATCCAAGAAATAGAATAAATCTTCAATTTGTGTGTGATTGTAAATTCATAATGGAATACGAGAGGCCTGGGAACGTGATTAATGAACAGAGGAAATGTTTGTGCCATGAATGTCTACAAAGATTATTTTGTACTATTTTTAACCCTTTATTAAGTATCCAGACCCCAATCTGAAAAGTGTCCAGTGTCCAAGAATTTTCCAAAAAAACTTGGTGAAGTTTTTCTTATGAAATGATACAGAATCTTTTTTTGAAGGTAATAAAACAAAAAGTACAAAATTTGATAGGAAACTTATGAAATTATGCTTTCGCAAATTTTGCTGTGTCGATATTTACACATTGGCAATTTTGCCCACTTTGAGTCCTATTTTAGGTTAATTACATAGTTCCAGTCAACCAAATTCTTAGCTATTTTGGTAGTATGGCTTCCATTTTATCGAATGAGCACTAAGAACTACCCAATCGACTATTTACAACAAACTTTTATGATTATTTATTATTGTTAATTCATTATCTATACAAAACTAGTTTACAGGATTCATTACCGAGTCATATAAAGGAACTTAGATGGAAACACTTCTCTAGTCTTAGGTTGAGGCCTATGTAGCCTTCGACTTCCAAGATACTGGGCAGATTTTCAAGATATATTTTTGGGGAAAAAAATAATCTACAATGCTGTAAAATATGGTACATGTATTTATAAACAGATATGCCAAAATGTTGCCATTTTAATTCACAAAAAAAAAAAAAAAATGAAGTCACCAGTCCTGTGGAAATGCACAGAACATATTGCAATATAAGGCAAAATTTAAACAAGCTTAACAAATACAGTAGGTCCCCGCTTTACGGTGTTTCGCTTTACAGCATTCCGTTAATACGGACATTGCAAATTATGACCAAAATTCATAATACAACTCCTGCACACCTGACTTTCTAATACGGTCACCGTGCCCCAGCCGGTTTGCCTACATTCTCCGTGAGCACTCTCTCTCTCTCCATTATGTCTGGAAACTTTCCAAAATTTCAAGTGTTTTAAAGTTATTTCATATTTTATATTTTTTTTTCAACAAGTCGGTCGACTCCCACTGAGGCAGGATGACCCAAAAAGAAAGAAAATACTTACATCATCATTCAACACTTTCACCTCACTCACTCACTAACCTAACCTATCATCACTGAGCACTTTCACCTCACTTATACATAATTACTTTTTGCAGAGGTACCCAGAACACAATAGTTTAGAAGCACATACATATAAAGATATACAACATATCCCTCCAAACTGCCAATATCCCAACCCCTCCTTTCAAGTGCCTGCATTGTACTTCCCATTCCCAGTACTCAAGTCCAGCTATATAAAAAGTAACAGGTTTCCCTGAATTCCTTCACTAAATATTACCCTGCTCACACTCCAACAGTTAGTCAGGTCCCAAATACCATTCATCTCCATTCACTCCTACCTAACACGCTCACGCATGCTTACTAGAAGTCCAAGCCCCTCACCCACAAAACCACCTATACCTCCTCCCTCCAACCTTTTCGACGACGACCCCTACCCCTTCTTCCTTTCTCTACAGATTTATATGCTCTCTATGTCATTCTACTTTGCTTCATTCTCTCTAAATGACCAAACCACCTCAACCACCCAACTTCAGCCCTCTGACTAATACTTTTATTAACTCGACATCTCCTAATTTCCACACTCCGAAATCTCTGCATATTTACACCACACGTTGCCCTTAGACAGGATACCTCCACTGCCTCCTCGCTGCAGCATTTACAACCCAGGCTTCACACCCATAGAAGTGTTGGTACCAGTATACTTTAATACATTCCCTTCTGTGGCTCCATAGATAATGTTTTTTGTCTCCACATATACCTCAATGCACCACTCACCTTTTTTCCTTCATCAATTCTATGGTTAACCTCATCCTTCATAAATCCATCCACTGACACGTCAACTCCCAAATATATGAAAACATTCATTGATGGGATAAAGATAGAAATGTTAAAAGCAGGTGGGGATATAGTTTTGGAGTGGTTGGTGCAATTATTTAATAAATGTATGGAAGAGGGTAAGGTACCTAGGGATTGGCAGAGAGCATGCATAGTTCCTTTGTATAAAGGCAAAGGGGATAAAAGAGAGTGCAAAAATTATAGGGGGATAAGTCTGTTGAGTGTACCTGGAAAAGTGTATGGTAGAGTTATAATTGAAAGAATTAAGAGTAAGACGGAGAATAGGATAGCAGATGAACAAGGAGGCTTTAGGAAAGGTAGGGGGTGTGTGGACCAGGTGTTTACAGTGAAACATATAAGTGAACAGTATTTAGATAAGGCTAAAGAGGTCTTTGTGGCATTTATGGATTTGGAAAAGGCGTATGACAGGGTAGATAGGGGGGCAATGTGGCAGATGTTGCAAGTGTATGTGTAGGAGGTAGGTTACTGAAAGCAGTGAAGAGTTTTTACGAGGATAGTGAGCTCAAGTTAGAGTATGTAGGAAAGAGGGAAATTTTTTTCCCAGTAAAAGTAGGCCTTAGACAAGGATGTGTGATGTCACCGTGGTTGTTTAATATATTTATAGATGGGGTTGTAAGAGAAGTAAATGCGAGGGTCTTGGCAAGAGGCGTGGAGTTAAAAGATAAAGAATCACACACAAAGTGGGAGTTGTCACAGCTGCTCTTTGCTGATGACACTGTGCTCTTGGGAGATTCTGAAGAGAAGCTGCAGAGATTGGTGGATGAATTTGGTAGGGTGTGCAAAAGAAGAAAATTAAAGGTGAATACAGGAAAGAGTAAGGTTATGAGGATAACAAAAAGATTAGGTGATGAAAATTGAATATCAGATTGGAGGGAGAGAGTATGGAGGAGGTGAACATATTCAGATATTTGGGAGTGGACGTGTCAGCGGATGGGTCTATGAAAGATGAGGTGAATCATAGAATTGATGAGGGAAAAAGAGTGAGTGGTGCACTTAGGAGTCTGTGGAGACAAAGAACTTTGTCCTTGGAGGCAAAGAGGGGAATGTATGAGAGTATAGTTTTACCAACGCTCTTATATGGGTGTGAAGCGTGGGTGATGAATGTTGCAGCGAGGAGAAGGCTGGAGGCAGTGGAGATGTCATGTCTGAGGGCAATGTGTGGTGTGAATATAATGCAGAGAATTCGTAGTTTGGAAGTAAAGAGGTGGTGCGGGATTACCAAGACTGTTGTCCAGAGGGCTGAGGAAGGGTTGTTGAGGTGGTTCGGACATGTAGAGAGAATGGAGCGAAACAGAATGACTTCAAGAGTGTATCAGTCTGTAGTGGAAGGAAGGCGGGGTAGGGGTCGGCCTAGGAAGGGTTGGAGGGAGGGGGTAAAGGAGGTTTTGTGTGCGAGGGGCTTGGACTTCCAGCAGGCATGCGTGAGCGTGTTTGATAGGAGTGAATGGAGACAAATGGTTTTTAATACTTGACGTGCTGTTGGAGTGTGAGCAAAGTAACATTTATGAAGGGATTCAGGGAAACCGGCAGGCCGGACTTGAGTCCTGGAGATGGGAAGTACAGTGCCTGCACTCTGAAGGAGGGGTGTTAATGTTGCAGTTTAAAAACTGTAGTGTAAAGCACCCTTCTGGCAAGACAGTGATGGAGTGAATGATGGTGAAAGTTTTTCTTTTTCGGGCCACCCTGCCTTGGTGGGAATCGGCCAGTGTGATAATAAAAAAAAAAAAAAAAAATATACTCAATTATCCTCTTTTTCATAAAATATGTATTACTTATTACCAAACCTCTTCCAAGACACAGCTCAAAGGCTCCCCATTTTCATTTACCCCTGGTACCCCAAATTTACCTACTATTCCCTCCACAACATTTTTACCCACTTTAGCATTGAAATCCCCAACCACAAGTACTCTCACACTTGGTTCAAAACTCCCCATGCATTCAACATTTCCCAAAATCTTTCTCTCTCTCCTCTTTACTTCTCTCTTCCCCAGGTGCATAAATACTTACTATAACCCACTTTTCATATCCAACTCTTATTTTACTCCACATAATTCTTGAATTTAGACATTTATATTCCCTCTTTTCTTGCCATAACTTATCCTTCAACATTATTGCTACTCCATCTTTAGCTCTAACTCTATTTGAAACCCTTGACCTAATCCCATTTATTTCTCCCCACTGAAACTCTCCCACCCCCTTCAGCTTTCTTTCAGTTAAAACCAGGACATCCAGCTTCTTCTCATTCATAATATATATTTTATATATACTATGATAATTATACTTATGTGTACCTGTATCTAAGTAAACTTACATACTGTGATGGCATGCAGGTACACATTAAAATCAGTGTATCTTATGTCTCAAGGACGCCATATTAATAATAATAATAATACTTAATAACAATCACTGAGGCACATTAAATGTCGTATATTAAGTTATTACACACATTTTCGTTAATCCATCTATGATATTTTTTCAAAATTATATAATAAACATACAACATAACATATAAACATTATAAATACACCCCACAGTAGAATAAATTAACAAATATGAGATATGGTAGCCAGGAGACTTGGAGGAGTGATGGCAAGAATTACGTTTTCTCTCATCCAACATCAACTGTGTACACTATAGTATTACTGGGGGTAACTGTAGAAAATTATTCCTTTTGTATGCCTTCACTCAGAGCGTCATTTCTTCTAAAAATGGTGTTACATGAGAATGGGAGCGTTCCTTTATTTATTCTACTGTATCAATGTGGAGACAACTTGTACACAATGTAGTGTTTGTATTATGGTATAATACAAACGTTTATGGACCAAAACCAGACGCATTCATCCTTTTTGTTTGCATACTCAGTCTCTGTCCTCCCCTCCCTCTCTCTCTGTCCTCCCCCCTCCCTCCCTCTCTCTCTCTCTCTGTCTGTCTGTCCTCCTCTCTCTCTCTCTCTCTCTCTCTCTCTCTCTCTCTCTCTCTCTCTCTCTCTCTCTGCCCCCCCCTCTCTCTCCCTCTACTCTCTGTCCTCCCCCCTCCCTCCCTCTCTCTCTGTCTGTCTGTCCTCCTCTCTGTCCCCTCTCTCTCTCTGCCCCCCCTCTCTCTCTCTCTCTCTCTCTGTCCCCCCTCTCTCTCTCTGTCCCCCCCCTCTCTCTCTCTGTCCCCCCTCTCTCTGTCCCCCTCTTTCTCTCTCTGTCCCCCCTCTCTCTCTCTCTCTCTCTCTCTCTCTCCCCCCCTCTCTCTCTCTGTCCCCCCCCCTCCTCTCTCTCTGTCCCCCTCTCTGTCCCCCCTCTCTCTGCCTCCCCCTCTCTCTCTGTCCCCCCCTCTCTCTGTCCCCCCCTCTCTCTCTCTCTCTGTCCCCCCTCTCTCTGTCCCCCTCTTTCTCTCTCTGTCCCCCCTCTCTCTCTCTCTCTCTCTCTCTCTCTCTCCCCCCCTCTCTCTCTCTGTCCCCCCCTCTCTCTCTCTGTCCCCCTCTCTCTCTGCCCCCCTCTCTCTGCCCCCCCTCTCTCTCTGTCCCCCCCTCTCTCTCATTTATTCGTTTTATCACATTTACTCACCTCTCACCCGACATTAAGACTATAAATATTTTAAGTAATGAGTGAACTGTTTACACATTTTCTCTCTCTGGGACACTTTAAATGTCATAGTATATTGTGTGGGTGGGGTGGGGTGGCCTGGCCACCATACCTACCACACCTGACTTCCTACAAAATATACTGGTATAAACCTTGGTAATAAATACCGACAAGTTGGTTTAGAAAGACACGTAAGCAAACACTGACATATTTATTAGAAAACGTTTTGCTCCTGGGACCTTGATCAAGGTCCCAGAACCGAAACGTTTTCTAATAAATATGTCATAGTGTTTGCTTACGTGTCTTTCTAAAACAAAATATACTACTCATTTCACCTTACATTAAGACTACAAATATTTTAAGGTAAGTAATGAGTGTACTCTGTGTATTTTACTTTTTTATTGTTTTTAATGCCTAGTTCTATTGCTAACTTAATATATGTTAGTGTACACTTGTTATCTAGTAGTTACATGCATTTACAAAGGGGATGGGGGTCCACTTTACGGCAGTAGCCTGGAACCTAACCTGCCATGTAAGTGGGAGCCTACTTTAATTCCAAGGACAATGCCCTTAAAAAGCCCTTCCCTATATTACGTACAATTTTGTGAAATACCCTACCTTACACTCCTTGGTAGCAGAAAGCCACACACGTACTGTCTGGTCGTTGGAGCAGGAGGCAATGAGAGAGCCGTCACTGCACACTCGCACCATCCTCACCCACTCTCGGTGCCCAGTAAAAGTCTTAACACAGTATCTGCCACAAGGGTGGAATGACCTTCAGTGTCACCTTATACAGAGCAAAGCTCCATTAAGTACAAACAGTGATACAGCTAATACATTTTGTTTACAAATTCATCATACCATATATATTCTCACACACATTGATGCATACAATGAAATGTTAATTACAAATAATAATCCTATAGTATTAGCATACACGCCCAAGATCAAAGATTAATTTAAAATTTATATACTATACCAGTAAATAATTTTTAATCAACAGAATATGAAAAGTCAAAATAAAGTACAAGGAGAAACATATAAAAGTTGAGCTTTGAGAAATGACATATCCAAATTTGTAGGAAAGGAAGAGGAGGGGGGTGGGAAGACTTAAGATAGTTCTATGTATGCCCTAGTATAAACAAAGTGGAACAGCAAAAAATAATAGGTGCCTAGATATACGTATGTGGAGATTACTGGCATGTGTAAATAATGTTCAGTGGCTGGTGAACATCATTTTAAATAAAATAGTGTATTTCAAACGGTGAAGAAAAAATTAGTTTTTAGTTATATAATAAATGAAGCAATTCATCAAGTTAATGAAATAACAATAATTGTATACAGGGTGGTTGGAGAGTTAAACACAACCATAACAATACACAAGTTCATAAGTAAGCTCTCTAAAAATAATAAATCACTGTATAGGGTAATTACTTTATACAATCTACCCATGTTTGCCTTTTACAGTGTACACGAGTCTGACAGTACAAGACAGTCCAAGAGCAAAGGTAAGGGGTGTGTAGGTACAACAGTTTGAAAAGCTAAAATATACAGTAAATTAATTTTAAGTAAAAGGTTCAATTACCTCATGGGATTTCAAAAAATCATAATATAATAAGGTCAATTCTATTCTTATTTATAAATAAAGTTCAAGTGAGTAATGATGTTTTTACTGAACTTCTGAAACAATTTAAATACATAATAGATATTGCATAAAATTTCACACCAAAAAGAAAAATAGAAGTTTTGTAGAGATTCTGTAAAAGTAAGGCATTAATAAAAATACAGTTTTTTTTTTTTATCACACTGGCCAATTCCCACCAAGGCAGGGTGGCCCAAAAAAGAAAAACTTTCACCATCATTCACTCCATCACTGTCTTGCCAGAAGGGTGCTTTACACTACAGTTTTTAAACTGCAACATTAACACCCCTCCTTCAGAGTGCAGGCACTGTACTTCCCATCTCCAGGACTCAAGTCCAGCCTGCCGGTTTCCATGAACCCCTTCATAAATGTTACTTTGCTCACACTCCAACAGCACGTCAAGTATTAAAAACCATTCATCTCCATTCACTCCTATCAAACACGCTCACGTACGCCTGCTGGAAGTCCAAGCCCCTCGCACACAAATCCTCCTTTACCCCCTCCCTCCAACCTTTCCTAGGCCGACCCCTACCCCGCCTTCCTTCCACTACAGACTGATACACTCTTGAAGTCATTCTGTTTCGCTCCATTCTCTCTACATGTCCGAACCACCTCAACAACCCTTCCACAGCCCTCTGGACAACAGTTTTGGTAATCCCGCACCTCCTCCTAACTTCCAAACTACGAATTCTCTGCATTATATTCACACCACACACTGCCCTCAGACATGACATCTCCACTGCCTCCAGCCTTCTCCTCGCTGCAACATTCATCACCCATGCTTCACACCAATATAAGAGTGTTGGTAAAACTATACTCTCATACATTCCCCTCTTTGCCTCCAAGGACAAAGTTCTTTGTCTCCACACACTCCTAAGTGCACCATTCACCCTTTTCCCCCTCATCAATTCTATGATTCACCTCATCCTTCATAGACCCATCCACTGACACGTCCACTCCCAAATATCTGAATACATTCACCTCCTCCATACTCTCTCCCTCCAATCTGATATCCAATCTTTCATCACCTAATATTTTTGTTATCCTCATAACCTTACTCTTTCCTGTATTCACTTTTAATTTTCTTCTTTTGCACACCCTACCAAATTCATCCACCAATCTCTGCAACTTCTCTTCAGAATCTCCCAAGAGCACAGTGTCATCAGCAAAGAGCAACTGTGACAACTCCCACTTTGTGTGTGATTCTTTATCTTTTAACTCCACGCATCTTGTCAAGACCCTCGCATTTACTTCTCTTACAACCCCATCTAAGGCCTACTTTTACTGGGAAATAATTTCCCTCTTTCCTATGTACTCTAACTTGAGCCTCACTATCCTCGTAAAAACTCTTCACTGCTTTCAGTAACCTACCTCCTACACCATACACCTGCAACATCTGCCACATTGCCCCCCTATCCACCCTGTAATACACCTTTTCCAAATCCATAAATGCCACAAAGACCTCTTTAGCCTTATCTAAATACTGTTCACTTATATGTTTCACTGTACCTGGTCCACACACCCCCTACCTTTCCTAAAGCCTCCTTGTTCATCTGCTATCCTATTCTCAGTCTTACTTTTAATTTTTTCAATAATAACTACCATACACTTTACCAGGTATACTCAACAGACTTATCCCCCTATAATTTTTGCACTCTCTTTTGTCCCCTTTGCCTTTATACAAAGGAACTATGTATGCTCTCTGCCAATCCCTAGGTACCTTACCCTCTTCCATACATTTATTAAATAATTGCACCAACCACTCCAAAACTATATCCCCACCTGCTTTTAACATTTCTATCTTTATCCCATCAATCTCGGCTGCCTTACCCCCTTTCATTTTACCTACTGCCTCACGAACTTCCCCCACACTCACAACTGGCTCTTCCTCACTCCTACAAGATGTTATTCCTCCTTGCCCTATACACGAAATCACAGCTTCCCTATCTTCATCAACATTTAACAATTCCTCAAAATATTCCCTCCATCTTCCCAATACCTCTAACTCTCCATTTAATAACTCTCCTCTCCTATTTTTAACCGACAAATCCATTTGTTCTCTAGGCTTCCTTAACTTGTTAATCTCACTCCAAAACTTTTTCTTATTTTCAACAAAATTTGTTGATAACATCTCACCCACTCTCTCATTTGCTCTCTTTTTACATTGCTTCACCACTCTCTTAACCTCTCTCTTTTTCTCCATATACTCTTCCCTCCTTGCATCACTTCTACTTTGTAAAAACTTCTCATATGCTAACTTTTTCTCCCTTACTACTCTCTTTACATCATCATTCCACCAATCGCTCCTCTTCCCTCCCGCACCCACTTTCCTGTAACCACAAACTTCTGCTGAACACTCTAACACTACATTTTTAAACCTACCCCATACCTCTTCGACCCCATTGCCTATGCTCTCATTAGCCCATCTATCCTCCAATAGCTGTTTATATCTTTCCCTAACTGCCTCCTCTTTTAGTTTATAAACCTTCACCTCTCTCTTCCCTGATGCTTCTATTCTCCTTGTATCCCATCTACCTTTTACTCTCAGTGTAGCTACAACTAGAAAGTGATCTGATATATCTGTGGCCCCTCTATAAACATGTACATCCTGAAGTCTACTCAACAGTCTTTTATCTACCAATACATAATCCAACAAACTACTGTCATTTCGCCCTACATCATATCTTGTATACTTATTTATCTCTTTTTCTTAAAATATGTATTACCTATAACTAAACCCCTTTCTATACAAAGTTCAATCAAAGGGCTCCCATTATCATTTACACCTGGCACCCCAAACTTACCTACCACACCCTCTCTAAAAGTTTCTCCTACTTTAGCATTCAGGTCCCCTACCACAATTACTCTCTCACTTGGTTCAAAGTGCCACCAAATATTCCAGACCTTCAATTTATTATAAAACCCTATAAAAAGCAGGAGTATAAACAATATAGAACAAAAACTATAATGTAAATACTTGATACCTACATTAATATTGTTTCCTCATTGGCTTTGATGACCATATGAAATCATTTTTACATGCTTTCACTCAGATTCCTGAAACAATCAATTGGTAACGGGTTGACCCCAATGTTCTTGATCTGTTGCAGGCACATGACGAAATATGACAGTATTCCATTTTTTTTTAAATTCCAGGCATTCTTAACAGGAATGAGGTCTGGGCTATTCCCTGGCCACTGTAATGCCTCAATTTTTTTTTCTCAGCAAACAACTTCGTTATTTTTTTGGTCTTGTGACAGGGGGCACTATCATGCATAAAGGTGGTATAGCCATGAATTGCAAAAATATTTAGCAGGTTGTCCTCGAGAACAGTGATGTAGCAGTCGGCATTCACTGTGAAGTTTTTTGTGCTGCAAGGAAACCACTACTTAACGTACCATATTAATATAATAATTTTATTTACTACAAGTACATGTACATGGTATACATGCCTAGCTGACATCAATGACATGCTACTATACAGAAAGCCGCTTGTTATGCTGAACATATCGTGCAAATTAGGTCAGTGTCCCAGGATGCAACCCACACCAGACAACTAACACCCAGGTACCCACTGTACTGATGGGTAAACACAAACAGCTGTAAAGAAACACGCCCAATGTTTCTACCCTGGCTGGGAATCGAACCCAGACCCTTGCCATGTGCAATGAGAGCTTTAGCCACCAGGCCACCAGTCCCTAAAAAGGAACACCTGCAGTTTTCCAGAAAATATGTGCAATGGAGTATTGATTACCAGAAAATTCGTGGTCAGATGAACACACATTTCAGTGCATCCAAGTGATTAAAGTAGGGCGAGGTGCCTCTCCTCCATCAGAAGGTGTGACCCTGCGTACACAGTGAGCACAATAAAGAGGTTGCTCTAATGGTTTACTTGGTCGTGGGGATATGTATTGCCTTTGCCAGAACATTACAATGAATGCTGAGCGCTATCTCTCAGTTCTCGACAACCGCCTACTAAATATTTTTGAAATTCATGGCTGCACCACGTGTTCATGATAGTGCCCCTTGTCACAAAGCACAAAAAAATAACCAAGAAGCTTGCAGAGAAAAATACTGAGGTTTTACAGTGGCCAGGGAATAGTCCAGACCTCAATCCTGTTGAGAATACCTTGAATATGAAAAAGATGGAATCTGCCACATTTAATCTATGTTGTGCCTGCAGCAAGAGATCAAGGACATTTGGGTCAATCAGTTATCCACTGATTACTTCAGAAATCTGAGTGAAAGCCCAAATGGCTTCAAATGGTCATCAAGGTCAGAGAGACTAACAACATATTAATGTCAGTACAAGGTATTACAGTTTTTGTTCAATGTTTATATTGCTTTTTAACAATTTTCTTAATAATAAAGGAAGGGCAACATAATTTTTGTGGGTACTGTATTAGCAGCAAATATAAAATGCCAATTCAAATTTCCATGGCAAAATTAGTCTTAACTGCATATTAGGTGCTTAACTTACTGCAAATAGTATTTGTGTATTTTCAAACTGTTGATCATTTCAAATATCAACTTAATAATTTAAGGTGAAAACTATGACCCCAAATGCACTCCTTACCCTGTGGCCACCTCCCACATTTTAATGGTCTTATCTCTGGAGGAGCTCAAGAGATAATCTCCGGAGGGCATGAAAGTGACTGAGGACACATTGTGGTCGTGGCCATGCATCGTTTTGACACACTCGTATGATGAGAAGTCCCACAGTTTGATTGACATATCAGCACTACAAGAGACTGGAGGAAAATGAAAAAAGCATTTACAGTAATAATATTTAAAATAAAATTTACGTAATGAAATTTTTTGTACATTCTATCAAGCCCTACCGTACACACAATGCTTTATGGCTTGAAAGCTCCAATCATTATTCCTCTTCCCAAACTTTATTCAATTTATGTTTTGTGTAATTTAACTAAAGCATGCATGTGTTGTTTCCCACCAAGGCAGGCCAACTCAAGGGGACACATTCACCCTCACTCGTATCAATTTTTCCAGGGGTGCACACACAACATAATTCAGATAATCCACCAAACTGCAACATTTACAGCTGCTTTATAAAAAAAAAAATTACAGAAACCTTTAGCCAACTAAACCTTCTAAATTTATTTGTGGTCTTAAGCTGACACTTGACTCCAAAATAATAACGGGGAATAACGATCACAATTTTGTTGATACATCCAATATCATAAATGGCATTTTTTACTGTATTAGACTCCTGAATATATTAATAATCAAATCACTGACTTACAATATTGATTTAATCCGAGTTATTTTATTCAGGAGCTGCAAAACCTGAAATTAAGTAGTATTTTAAATAAACAAGTAATGTCATGAATATATTGGTTTGTCCTCTAAATCTATCATGTAAACAAACTGTAATAAAAGGTACAATACAAGGATACAGCCTACAAAAAAAATTATTTATTTATTAACACACAGGCCATTTCCCACTGAGGTAGGGTAAAAAAAAAAAAATAATATTCATCATTCACTCCATCACTGTCTTGCCAGAGCAACACTCACACTACAGTTATAAAATTGCAACAAAAATTGTACAAGACAAAAAAATATTAGGTGATCTCCACTGTGTATTTAATTAACAAGACTAATGTGTCAATTCTTAAATTTTCTGTACATATTTTTTATTATACCCAAGCAATAAGCTCAGGTGCAAGTCCGACTCAAATCCAACCCCTCTCACTCACGTATTTATCCAAGCTAAATTTGAAACTACCCAAGTCATAGCTTTTAGAACATAGGAACATAAGAAATGAAGAACACTGCAATAGGCCTGTTGGCCCATACTAGGGAGGTCCTTCACAAATCCAACCGACTAACATAAGTGCTACCCAAGCAATAAGCTCAGGTGCAGGTCCGACTCAAATCCAACCCCTCTCACCCATTTATTTATCCAACCTAAATTTGAAACTACCCAATGTTTTAGCTTTGATCACCCTACTAGGCAGACCGTTCCACTCAAACTACCCCTATTACCAGTGTTCATTTACATTTTATTAGTGCTTTACATTTAATTGGTATTCTTTTCTGCAAGTAAATCTATATTTAAGCTAGGGAAGTGACCCATGAAGTGACCTAGAGTCCATTTGGAGGGGGATTTCCCTTCCAAACAATAACCTCTCTTCCCACTCTCCTCCTCCCTGTCTTCCATTCATCAACAACAGCCTTCAATAAAGGTAACTGTCATGTTGAATGTTCATTCTTTTGTGCATGTAAATCTATCTTTAAGGTTAAAAAAAATTTTTTTGTTGATACCTCTGGGTGTCTGGAACGAAATACAGTTGACCCCCGGTTTACGATATTATTTCATTCCAGAAGTATGTTCAGGTGCCAGTACTCACCGAATTTGTTCCCATAAGGAATATTGTGAATTAGATTAGTCTATTTCAGACCCCCAAACATACACATACAAATGCACTTACATAAATATTTATTTATTTATTTATTATCACACTGGCCGATTCCCACCAAGGAAGGGTGGCCCGAAAAAGAAAAACTTTCACCATCATTCACTCCATCACTGTCTTGCCAGAAGGGTGCTTTACACTACAGTTTTTAAACTGCAACATTAACACCCCTCCTTCAGAGTGCAGGCACTGTACTTCCCATCTCCAGGACTCAAGTCAGGCTTGCCGGTTTCCCTGAACCCTTCATAAATGTTACTTTGCTCACACTCCAACAGCACGTCAAGTATTAAAAACCATTTGTCTCCATTCACTCCTGTCAAACACGCTCACGCATGCCTGCTGGAAGTCCAAGCCCCTCGCACACAAAACCTCCTTTACCCCCTCCCTCCAACCTTTCCTAGGCCGACCCCTACCCCGCCTTCCTTCCACTACAGACTGATACACTCTTGAAGTCACTCTGTTTCGCTCCATTCTCTCTACATGTCCGAACCACCTCAACAACCCCTCCTCAGCCCTCTGGACAACAGTTTTGGTAATCCCACACCTCCTCCTAACTTCCAAACTACGAATTCTCTGCATTATATTCACATCACACATTGCCTTCAGACATGACATCTCCACTGCCTCCACCCTTCTCTTTGCTGCAACATTCATCACCCATGCTTCACACCCATATAAGAGCGTTGGTAAAACTATACTCTCATACATTCCCCTCTTTGCCTCCAAGGACAAAGTTCTTTGTCTCCACAGACTCCTAAGTGCACCGCTCACCCTTTTCCCCTCATCAATTCTATGATTCACCTCATCTTTCATAGACCCATCCGCTGACACGTCAACTCCCAAATATCTGAATACATTCACCTCATCCATACTCTCTCCCTCCAATCTAATATCCAATCTTTCATCACCTAATCTTTTTGTTATCCTCATAACCTTACTCTTTCCTGTATTCACTTTTAATTTTCTTCTTTTGCACACCCTACCAAATTCATCCACCAATCTCTGCAACTTCTCTTCAGAATCTCCAAGAGCACAGTGTCATCAGCAAAGAGCAACTGTGGCAACTCCCACTTTATGTTTGATTCTTTATCTTTTAACTCCACGCCTCTTGCCAAGACCCTAGCATTTACTTCTCTTACAACCCCATCTATAAATAAATTAAACAACCACGGTGACATCACACATCCTTGTCTAAGGCCTACTTTTACTGGGAAATAATTTCCCTCTTTCCTACATACTCTAACTTGAGCCTCACTATCCTCGTAAAAACTCTTCACTGCTTTCAGTAACCTACCTCCTACACCATACACCTGCAACATCTGCCACATTGCCCCCCTATCCACCCTGTCATAAGCCTTTTCCAAATCCATAAATGCCACAAAGACCTCTTTAGCCTTATCTAAATACTGTTCACTTATATGTTTCACTGTAAACACCTGGTCCACACACCCCCTACCTTTTCTAAAGCCTCCTTGTTCATCTGCTATCCTATTCTCCGTCTTACTCTTAATTCTTTCAATAATAACTCTACCATACACTTACATAATTGGTCGCATTGGGAGCTGATCGTAAAGCGGGGGTCCACTATAATTGAATTTACATTATTTCTTATCGGGAAAATGGATTCGAAAATCGTCAATTTCGATAATAGTCACACTTCCAGGAACGGATTAATTACGAAAAACGAGGGACCACTGTATCTGAATAACATTCACGTCTTCCATACTCCTCCTCCCAAATTTGATATCCAATTTTTCTTTATCTAAGTCATTTGATACCCTCATCGCCTTACTCTTTTCTATGTTCACTTTCAACTTTTCTACCTTTACACACACTCCCTTGCAATTTTTCTTTAGAATCTCCCATAAGCACAGTATCATCACCAAAAAGTAACTGTCACTTCCCATTTTGTATTTGATTCCCCATAATTTAATCCCACCCCTCTCCCAAACATACTAGCATTTACTTCTTTTACAACCCCATCTATAAATATATTAAACAACCATGGTGACATTACACATCCCTGTCTAAGACCTAATTTAACTGGGAAGTAGTCTCCCTCTCTTCTACACACCCTAACCTGAGCCTCACTATCCTCATAAAAACTCTTTGCAGCATTTAGTAACTTACCACCTATTCCATATACTTGCAACATCTGCCACACTGCTCCCCTATCCACTATCATATGCCTTTTCTAAATCCATAAATGCAATAAAAATTTCCCTACCTTTATCTAAATACTGTTCACATATATGCTTCAATGTCAACACCTGATCTACACATCCCCTACACATCCCCTACGCACCCTAAAACCTCCTTGCTCATCCGCAATTCTACATTCTGTCTTGCCTCTAACTCTTTCAATAATAATCCTACCATACACTTTTCCTGGTATACTCAGCAAACTTATTCCTCTATAATTTTTACAATCTCTTTTGTCCCACTTCCCTTTATATAAAGGGACTATATATGCTCTCTGCCAATCCCTAGGTACCTTCCCCTCTTTCATACATTTATTAAACAAAAATACCAACCACTCCAATAAAATATCTTCCCCTGCTTTTAACATTTGTCATGATCCTGTGAGTTCCAGCTGCTTTACCCCCTTTTATTCTGCGTAATGCCTCGCACCTCCCCCACACTCTCATCCTGCTCTTCTTCACTCCTGAAAGATGGTATACCTCCCTGGCTAGTGCATGAAATTACCTCCTCCCTTTCTTCATCGACATTTAAAAGTTCCTCAAAATATTCTCGCCATCTATCCAATACCTCCATCTCCTACTAACTCCCCTACTCTGTTTTTAACTGACAAATCCATTCGTTCCCTATGCTTTAACTTCTTTAACTCACTCAAAATTTTTTTCTTATTTTCATTAAAATTTCTTGACAGTGCCTCTCCCACTATCATCCACTCTCCTTTTGCGCTCTCTCACCACTCTCTTCATCTTTCTTTTACTCTCCATATACTCTACTTTTCTTATACCACTTCTGCTTTGTAAAAAACCTCTCATAAGCTACCTTCTTCTCTTTTATCACACCCTTTACTTCATCATTCCACCAATCACTCCTCTTTCCTCCTGCACCCACCCTCCTATAACCACAAACTTCTGCCCCCACATTCTAATACTGCATTTTTAAAACTATTCCACCCACCTTCAACCCCCCCCCCCCCACTACTCATACTTGCACCAGCCCACCTTTCTGCCAATAGTTGCTTGTATCTCACCCGAACATCCTCCTCCCTTAGTTTATACACTTTCACCTCCCTCTTACTTGTTGTTGCCATTTTCCTCTTGTCCCATCTACCTCTT